GTACAGGTAGTCCAACAGTTCATTCAATGACCATTCAAAGATACAATGGCACTTTAAAAAGACCAATGGCACTTTATGACCATTTTTCACAGTTACAACCTTTGTAGCATCTCCATGATCATGTGATCAAAATTCAAATGCTTGGCAACTGACACATATTTATGACATTGCAGTGTCCCAAGGTCATATAATCACCTTTTACAATCTTTCAACAAGCAAAGTCAATGGGGAAGCCAGATTCACTTAACAACCGGGTTACTAACTTATCCACTGCAGTGATTCACTTAACAACCGTGGCAAGAAAGGTCATAAAATGGGGCAAAATGCACTTAACAAATGTCTCACTTAACAACATAAATTTGGGGCTCAATTGTGGACATAAGTCAAGGTTTACCTATATATTATCTCAGCCTTTAAAATCCGTCTTTCAAAGTTCATGGCAAAATGGTTTTCATATGGCAGGTTTTATTTTTCTTACTTAATGTCTTAAAAAAACTAGAAGAAAAGTTTCCTGTAATAATGTGCAACCAGCAAGAGCTCAGAAAAGATGTATCAGCTTATGTCATAAACCTGACACAGCTTGTCATTTTTTTCTGTACTTGCTAGGAATGATTGCACTCTCATTTTGCACCTATGATTTCGATTTTTGATTCTTCATATTTGCTGTACACAGCTAATCTCTTTCATTTGTCTACTTACCTAGTATTTCTTGAAGTATTCCAAGAAACATTTTATTCCGACGCCTCTGGAAGCAATAATAATTTACACAGTGGTATTATTTCATCTGTCTTGTAGCTCTGATTGCATATGTCTATGGTTTTTTTTTCTCCCCTCAGCTGAATAATATGATAGTTGGAGACATCTGGATGGCTTTGCTAAATTACACTTTGAATAGACCACGTGTGCTTTTCTTTTGCTTTTATTCCAATTTGAAAATATGACTTAGTCTCTACCGTAGTCAGAAATGTTCAGCCTATAATTCCCCAACTATTGTCAAATTCCAACTCTCACTGGAATATTCTAACAACAACTGGAGAACTGCAGATTGCCAATTTTTACTTTGGTAACATGAGTGCTTAGTTAGCTGCTTTGCAATCAAAGCTGTCTCAGATTTTAAGTTAATAAATGACATTTACATGCAATAAGGGAATTAGATAAGAAAGTATGAACCTTGGGAAATTTTGATTCCAGAAAGCAGATTCCATCTAAGCAGAAAAATAGTGGATGTATATTACTAATAATTGATATGAAATACTATATTACAGCCACTTTTTGCACAGAGGGGAATACTAATATCTCCTAAAGCCATATTTGGAAAGGGGTTGTAAAGAAGTCAAGGAGTCTCCTTTTTTTCCTTCATTCTTTCCTTCAGTCACTTTACTCTGTGCCATTAATGTGGGTACTTGGATTCTCCGAGCTTGGTTATTTTATTCCAGATTGTTCATTATCCAGCTAGGTAATATTCAGTTGAGTAATGAAATGTCTGCAAAAAAACAAACAACTCAGAGAGCGCCAAGGATCCCACTATTCTACCCTGAGCTACAAATATTCTCTTATATTGGTGTACCATTAATTCTAAACCCTCCAATTTAATGACCCATCTTGTGAAATGATTTGGTCACTCTGGCTCTCCTCCTCCTATGCAAATCACTGTGTATTTTTCATTTCTCTTTTTGTCTCTTCCTTCTCTGCCTAGAACTCTCTGTGGAATCAATCAAACCGTTGTTATTTCCATTCAAATATATTGTTCTTGTTGCTATTTCTTCAACCCACCTAATTATTCTAAACTCTACTCTGTATTATTTTTCTTTCTGGCTACTTCAAACACCTTGAGTTATGATTAAAGGCTTTTGGGATACATGTCAGTTTTTTGACACATAATAAATTGGAAAGCATGAAAACAAAGCCAAGCACCCCCCCAAAAAAAAAAAAAAACTCGAGACACAAGTAACCAAAGGCAACAGCGACAAGGAAAGAGTGACAGATCAGATCTCAGAATTACCTACATGTATGCATATTTTTTTATCAGCTCAACTCATGCCAAATATAATTGTTCTTCTGAGATATTCAATATTTATATAAAATTAAATCATTCATAAAATACAATGAAGTACAAACACATCTTAAAATGTGCATTTTGCAAATTATTGCCCAATTATTTTGTGCATGGGAGTTCATCTCTCTTTTCCTCCCTTCTCTCCACCTGTCACCAAGGTTAGAAGCAAACAGATGAACAGAATAATAACAGAAGTTAGTGAGAGTAATAAATTGACAATTTATTTTTACATTCATGGCCATGGAATTTAGAAGTGGACTTTATCATCTTGAAATGACAATAACCTGTACTATTCTTAGTGTGAGCAAAATATAATGTTTGACGTGCCTCCTATGTTCAAGATTCCACCTCCAATTAAAAAAAAAAACTTATGACAAACAGAAGCAACAAATAATATGGTAATTTGATTACAATGGTTATTTTTGAGGTTCACGGACCACATAATCCATGCATATGTCAGATATGTTGTGAGCTGCAAAAGCTTGGGTGTTAAATGATTGATAATTTTTCAAGATAAACTAAGATGCTTTCTTGTTTATTGTTATAGAAGACTATGGACCATTAGGAATTATTATATGAAAAACACATCTATCCCATCCCAATTCATTCTTGTATATTTGTGCACAACCTATAATGACTTCTTTTATTCAAGGAGCCATAAGTCCAGTGTGTGTTTTTTTTTAACTACAGTGATATGTTTGCAAGGCAACTAGGAAGCTTTAATGATTTGGTTAATATGCAATTCATCTTATTAATTCTTTTTTTAATTAAGAGGTAAATAGATAATAGCAACATAGGGTTTGCCATCACGGACACCGCAGACACTGGAAGGCGAGTTCTGTCTTCTGCGTTCAGTTTTGCTCTGCTGGGGGACCCTAGAAAGAGTAGAAAGTTGCCCTGTAGGGGCAACAAGCAAGGAGGGGAACCCTGCTCGATTGCGGGAGGGCGGCAGCCCTTCCATTCAATCCGGGGCAGCCTTCCAAACCGACAGAAGAAAGACCGGCCATAGTAATATGGCCCATCACTAGGCTGCAGACAGCCAAAGTCAAACTTACCACCAAACACTTCAAAAGCAACACCGATGAAACTGGGTGAGATCCGATCTTTTCTTTACCCTAAGTACTTTCTTTTCCTGTAAAAACTGCCTGAAGTATCTTTCCCCCTGAGAGGAGAGAGGGAAGGGAATTTCTATCCCACCCTCTAAGAATAGTGGCAACTGAGTACCCAGAGGAATTAAAGCACTAAAAAAACAACTTTAATCTAATTGAATTTATATGTTCCTGAAACTTGGGGACCAAAAAATTTCCTATTTTTATTGGAGACTTTTGCTTTTATCTAAAAAAAAGAAATAAAATTGGAAAAAGGATTATAAAAATTTTGGACTTAAAAAACTTTAAATGGTATTGGTGACATCTTGTGGCAAGGTTTGGTATTACAACTCATTATTTCCTAAAAGAGACTTGGCTTGAAGCCCAGACCTTAGATAAGACTCTTCTGACCTTGGCACCACCTTGGCATCAGCTGTAAGAGCACAGCTGGGTGGCATAATTGGCCTACTTGAACTGTGAATGTAAACCTTTACTGACTTTCAGAGTTTAAGTGGGGAATTGCCTTCCTATCTCTTTATTTGAGGAATATTGGTTACTATATGAGATGATGAAATATCTTGGACTATAAAATCTTACTTGATAAACAATTTCTACTATAAAGACTATTTATAAACATGTGAAAGAGATGAATGAAGACCAGGAAAAGATCCTTTCCATGTTGAAAGCATAACAATCAGCAACAAAATTCAGATTAAAGAAATATTAGGTAATTTAAATTCTACATAGTACAAATTCAAGAGAAGTGCTTGGTAATAAAATTACAGTATCACATGCAGAGATAGGACTTCTTTTTCCATTTCTTATAGCACAATATTATATTCTATATTATATTCATTGAAAAGAATATAATAATAAAATTGACTTGACTTTCTCTTGGTGGGACTCCATTCATGCATTTTTTTTTTAATCAGGAACAGAAGGCACAGCTATCTAAAGTTCAAAAATGTCTAGTTTAAAGTCTACTATAAGGCATTTTGATGGGAGAATCTTGTGGATAGCTAGGGATTTGTAGAATCCAAAATCATTTTAATTCATGGCTTTCAACTCTGCCATTTTCAACTGACTTAATAACTTTCTCCCATTGATTTCAATGGGGAACTAAAGAAAATATTGCCAGCCAAAAAGGAAAAATAATCTCTCCCTATTTCTCATCCCCATCTGCTGTCTTAGCTAGTGTGAACAAACGTGAATATACCAATCAATTTAAGTGACTTTTTCAGGCTCTGGGAGACGGGATGCAACATGAACTATTATTGGAAGTCAGTGTGGAGTTTTGGCTCTTTTAAAAAAGTGTTTTTTTTTTAAAGATAATTTTATCAATTAAAACATTTATTTCTCATCAAAAATTAGGGGCAAAACTATGCTTTTGGTATAGATCCATAAGCATGTATAAATCTACTTTGAAGACAACGAAGCTTCTGAAGCACATTTTAGAAGTGTTCCATAGTGTTGCTTGCCCATTGTATCTTGTGTTATGTATGAGTGGGAGCATGGTTACATCAAATAGAAGTCTTACTATGTGGTCTTATTCATATACTCATTACTGGGTCAGGTACTGGGCTGTGGCTCATTCAGACCTGGGCTGCACACGCCCACTACTTATGCAAATGGAGCTGCACAATTGCACTGATTTTTTGAAAGTTCTATTGTAATCTTTATATTCTGTTATATTTATATGTGATAGCTGGCTTATGTGATATTAAGAGGCAGTGAATACAAATGTAAATTTTAAGTAATTTAAGAATATATTTTGTACTTTAGTTGTACTATTAATTTATAATTTATTTAATGTGATGTTTTTATGTCATTTATATCTTCCCCTTTTTTCCTTTCAGGTCTCAGGGTGAAGAATTTGGAACTGGATCAAAATCTACACACTCATGGTAATATTATTTTTATTCAATGTTTGGTGTGGTTAATCATTTTAAAAATCATATTTGAGCTCTGGTATATTTCTAGCAAATTGTACTGATTTTTATTGTGTGAATATCTTCTCAAAACAGGAAATATCATATTTGTACAAAGATAATTGTCTAGTTGTTTTGTTTTAAGAAGTTGTTAAAATGTGTGTGTGTGTGTTTAATAATTGAATCTCTTACTATTTATTGTTGGTATTTTTTCTCCTGGATTTTGATTTGTGACAGTATACCAATAATTATCCTCAGAAACCTATGACTAATTTTATAGTGGTCCAGGTCTTGATAAGCATTGTGAAGTCTGTGTTTGAAAATTTGGCTGTACTCTGACTTGGATTTATAGATTTTTGATCTTGGAACTGATCTGATTTTAAAACCAGACTGAAGCATGATTCCTAAAGAAAATAGCATAGGCTCTACTGAAGCAAATAACAAGTAAACTGTAGACTTACAAAAGTTGTAAAATAATAAGTAACTGTAAATGTTTTACAGTAAGAAATTTATGGAGGAAAGACTTATAAGAAGTAGAAATTAATATGTATTTTATCACCAGACAGCCATTTTTAAAATGGCTTCAACCAGCATACTCTAATGTAGGAGTGTCAAACTGTCGACCCACGGGCCGGATGCATCATGCCGAAACTGTGCCCAACCCATTGCCGGTAATGGAAAAAAAGGTGCGATATGTCGCAACACATCATGTGACATTGCGAGTTTGACACCCCTGTTCTAATGTCATAAAATATCATGATAAATTATATTTTCAGTGAAAAAAAATGAGCAAATCATGTTGGTGCTGTACTTAAAAACTGTTTTATAGTGTAAATATTCCAGTCAACATACTGAAAAGCTGCAGCACAAAACCTATGTGTAACAATGGCTTTCAGGCATTCGTGTTATGCATATTAAAGTGGAAGTAGATTCTACTAAATTCTGTAGGAGTTACTCATGGTAAAAAGATGAAGAATTTAGTCTATCTACTATTATTTGATTGTCCACAAAGTAATAATAATGTTAGATAGACAACCTTAAGACAGTTTCCATTATTTTCAGAATATTATTTAATGTTTAACAATCATCCATAAGGTTAAGGCAAATCAACTTAAGTAGATATGCTCTAGTTAATATTCCACTGAAATAAAATTTGAAAGCTAACCTCATTTGTATTAAAAAAATGATCTGTCATACAAAGTGTATTTGAACAGACAACAAAGCCTCTGAAGAGCAGAAACCCATGAGAACCAGTTTGTCAATTCTTTTGAGGTTTTGTTGACTGTACAAAAACAGAAGCATGATTTGTGTTCCAAAGGAAGACATCTGTCAAATTGCCACCACCCGCTGGAAAATCTACCTGTAAATCTTTAAAGCTATATATTACATCTGGATATATATTACCTGGGAGATCTTTAGGTTTCTAGCCACATGCTTAGTTTCTTTCAAAATATTATTTTGGTCTCTATCAATCTTAAGCTTGTAGTCATTGCTTCCTATTAAAATATACTTTTAAGTATTTCACTGAAGAATAATTGGTGTTTAATACACTAGAGTGAATAGACCATCTTCTCTCTTAGCTGTTGTTCCATGCTTACTCTGCTCTGGTGCCAGCAATTCTTAATTAGTTGTGGAACTTCTTTGTGGAGAAAAGATGGTTTCTACAATCTAGTACCATAATAGCCTTCCTAAGTTTGGTTTTCTCCAAATGTGTTAAAGTTCTATCAACCACTTTCTCACGGGTAAAAGAGAATAATCAAGCTTGATCCTATACATCTGGAGGTATCCATTTACACAAGACTGTCACATGGCTTCTGGGGGGCTCAGCTGTAGTATGTGAACTGGATACTGTATTAGGTTGACCCTGGAACTAATATGTTAGTAAACTCTTAAGCCAGGGTGTCAAACTGCCGGCCCACAGATGGGTTGCATCATGTGGAGGTCGCACCCACCTCAGCTCCAGCAATGCGAAAAAAACTCATGCTATGTCCTGACGTGTCATTGACGCGGCGAGTTTGACACCCGTGTCTTAAGCCAAAGGAACTGAGAATCACCCTGTGAAACCAGACCTGCTGTTTTGATAATTCTATGGGGGAATCAACCTTTCACAAGAAATACAGTGACAGCCATACAATAAAAATGGGTAAACTTCCAGTGGTCAAGAGCTGCTATTATTAGATTTGGGGGTGGGATAAGGGAAGCACTGAAAGATAGACAGGACAACAACAAAAATGTAGGTGGGTTACTTATTTTATTTATGCTATGTCTACTTTGAAAACCACAAAGCAACTTGAGGTTGGCTCCTGGGATTATAGGTTGCCACCACTACTCTGTTGCTGGAATGGGAGACATAAATGCTTCCAAAGTAAATTAGTACTCTTGGTTGCCCTTTTTAGTGAAAATGACTGTGCTTTTGCAAGTGGGTAATGAAAAAGAAATTCTGCTTTTTAAAAGCCATATGAACCTGGCTTTTTGCAGGTTTATTATGTCAATGTTCAAAGTTCTTTTATAATAAAACGGTAGCTAGAGTGACTGCATTAGGCTAATCCCTAGATTATAAAGTAAGACTGAAATGAAAAGGTTTCAAACTTTAGTTTTATGTAGTCTATGAAGGTAAAAAGTTTAAATGGAACAAATCTAATTGAATTACATAAACTTTAAATGGATGTACTTGATAATGTCAAAAAGATTAGCTTCTTCTAACAAAGCATAAATGAAGCAAAAGATGGTTCTTAAAATTTCTGGTTCAAATAGGCACAACAGGGATACTGTAATCTGGCAAAAATACAAGAAAATCTATCAGGTGTCATTACTCAATCAAATTTCAGCTGTGCAATTCTATCTATCTATCTATCTATCTATCTATCTATCTATCTATCTATCTATCATCTCTATGAAATTGGAAATAACATTTGTATGATATATTCAAGTAAAAGGACAGCAACAATTTCTCTGTGATAATTTTATTCTGTCATTAATAAAATATAACAATTTTTGGTTGCTTTAAATCTTTTACTGAAAAAAGTTTATTTTCAGTTTATGCACGTATCTGAAATTCCTTTTTCACATGGCTATCAGCTATACATTATAATTCATTTATAATGCAGATTTAACTAATATGAGTACATAAAACTTTGCTAGTTAAGGTTTAAATTACTTTACATTAATAAAGGTGCAACTCTCTGGCTCAGCAATTTAAATCAGGAATTCCAGACTGTTAACCTTCTGTAGTTTTTATGTGCCTCCAATACAACGTTTAAGTATCAGCTCAGTCTATTCATTTCAGAAGCACTAGCAAACTCTACATTCTATTGATTGGTATTCAGTAAATATAGTAAATGCAAACAACACTATATTATACTTTTTAATGTTTTCCAAATCCAGTCCTCCAAAGATAAGTAATGAGACATTGTTTTTGTTTCCCAATATCTTCCATATTTGCTCACCAGACTATCTCTGTAGCACCAATTTACCAATGGTTATTTTTGTTGTTGTTGTTGAGGCAGAAACAATTTAACTTTAATCATGGTATTTTATTGTTTTAAAAAATGATTAAGTATTCATTTTTCTAAGAAAAGTTGGAGAGGATTCTTTGATTCTACCTAACACCATTTCTGTACCTGACAGGGTTCAGATTCTTGTTCTATTTTCAACCTAACAATTTACTTGGATGTGGATATAGTGAATTATTTTCTATCCCTCATTCCAGCCTTTTGGGAAATGGAAAAGTTGCTGTTGCATGTAATTTGTTATCGGCTTAATAAAGATACCGTCTCAATATGGATTTTGGACAGTAGAAACTACAGTGATTGTCAGAATGGATGCACATTATACACTAATATATAATATGTATCATTATATATATCACTGCACATACATTACATTTATTACTGCCTCCATATTACAGTAACAAGTTCTAAATGTTAAAAGATATAATATGAGCATCAAATTATTCTAAATTATAATCTGTTCTTTCTTTTGTGAAATATTGTTTGTAAGGAGGTAGGATCTTTGGAATAAACACATTTTTAATGATAAGGGTGGTCACTTCTCTGTTTTACCAATTTGCCTCAACCTGTGCAATTCATTATTTTCCCCCTTTATGTAGAGTTCAGTTTCCAATATCGCTCACCTACAATAGTATGGCTTAAGTGGAGACAGATGTTCCTGCGCTTTTGGGGTGACCATCTAGTAGGTGGCTTAAAAATAAAAGATTGTTTCCTAATTTTTCACAGTCAAAGATAAAACTCTTTAGAAGAAATGAGTTCAGAAGTTGAAGGAATTCAATTGGCCTGGAAAGTAACCCAGTCTTAAAGATGATTAGGGGACTGGAGGCTAAAGCATACAATGAACAGTTGCAGGAATTGGATATGTCTAGTCTAATAAAAACAAGAATTAGGGGTGACATGATAGCAGTCTTCCAATATTTGAGGAGCTGTTCTAGAGAGGAATGGGTTGACTTATTCTCCAAAGCACCTGAGGACAGGACAAGAAATAATGGGTAGAAGATCATTAGACAAGTAACGTAGAACTTAGGAGAAGCTTCCTGACAGTGAGAACAATTAATCAGTGGAACTGCTTGCCTCCAGAAGTTGCGGGTGTTCCATCATTGGAGGCTTTTAAGAAGAGATTGACAGCCATTTGTCTGGAATGGTATAGGGTTTCATGCTTGAGCAGGGGCTTGAACTAAAATACCACTAAGTCCCTTCCAACTCTGTTATTCCCTTGTTTTGTTATTCTATTATTTAGTAATTCTGTATTCTGTTATTGACTGAAATTTATTTGAATTAAATACAGATACAAGATTTTTTCCCCCTGAAAACAGCTTTTTCAAAATCTCTCCTGCAGTTCTGAATTCTGCCTTGTTTTCTGTGATATTGAGTCCATTCTCCTTCTCATAATACAGTCTGTTCTGCCTTGTGTAGTAATAAATGCTTTAATATTTAGTAATACTTTAAGTGGATGTTTTTTTAAAAA